CCACAGATTTAGTGGCTTAAAACCATAGAAATGTACTCCCTCACAGCTCTGGAGTCCAGAAATCTGAAGTCCGTATTATGGGACCAAAATCGAGGTGTCTCAGGGCTGTGCTTCCTCCATAGGCTCTCGGGGAGGATTGTTCTTGCCTCTTCCATCTTCTGGTGGCTGCCTGCGTTGCTTGACTTGTGGCAGCATCACTCTGGTCTTCAAGGCCAATGTCTTCAAATCTCTCTGCTGAGTCTTCACACACCTCTTCTGTGTGCATAGTTGGAAATTTTTGTGAATTTGTCAATCCTGAAGGAAATGCTTTTAGAGACATGTTAGGAAGAACAAAACCATATTCATTCCCTTTGGGAAGAAGACTGTGGTCACCTGGAAATGGCTCTAGGTCAACCCAAGAAAATCAGTCTGCTGAAATTCAGTTCCACAAAAGCCCCTCAATCTCGTGCCCTCCCACTGCCCCCCAGTCTCCTCCTCGGTCTGCAGCTCTTCAGCAACAGGGAGATGGACAGAGTATATTTCCTCTAATACTATTATGAAGACAGAATAAAAGCTGGTCAGTTAAGACTAGAGAGCTTAAAGAAAAAAGTAAGGTCAGCATATTGGTTGTTTAGTAAATGGGTTATTCAGAGACTTGGCCATTTGGGAAGTTGGCTGTCTGCAACTGGCTGATGGCGAAATCGACCCACTTCCCCAGGAAACACCACAGAGCTGCCCCGAGCCTGCCTAGAACAGGCCTGCACCTGCAAGCCACGGAGATGGGGAGACTGCCCTTGCAGGAACCTGGGACTGCGCCCAGTCACTCATAGGCCAGGTCCCAGGGGAGAGAAGGGAACGAAGGCAAGAGTGAGCGGGAGGTCCTCTCTCTGGACTCTGACTCAGCGGAACCCAGATGTGGGCCAGTAGCTGAATCTCCCTGTGCTGACCAGAGCCAAACTAGAAGTCAGTCAGGTGTTATGTGCCAGACAGACAGAACAGGTGATTTCACGGTGCCAGGACTTAGTATATAAAACCACAGGTTGTGCAGAGTCATCTTGTGGGGTGGTTTTGAGACTAAATGTCCCTTAACTTACATGTAAAACATTCCACACAGGCCTGTTGGCCACTATTATTAGTATTGTTTTGACATTATTACTAGTATTGTATTTTTAATATATGAGAGTAGTTACCACAATGCCTAGAGATAGTTGATAAATACCCGTTTTCTTCTTTCATTTACTGGATGACTTTGTGTAGAGGCACTTACCCGCTCCTGGAGGCATATCCTGCTCTTTTGTAACTTCACAAGCCGGTCCAGTCACCAGTGGAATCTGCAGCAGCACAGAGACCCCTGTGGAGCACTGCTCAGCCAGGCGGGCAGCTCCGCGGTTCTGCCCACAGGAAGCCTTACAGGTTATCAAAGCGAGGCGGGTTATTGTGGGAAGACCCAGGGAATTGTGAAAATTAGGTTCATGTAGCAGTAGCTATTTAGTGGAATAAAAAAAAAAACCCAGTGATAAAGAATTAAAGGGAAACAACAACAACAAAAATAAATATATGCCTAGCAACTATGAATTGCTTATTATGTGTTTCCTAGGAGTTAAGATAAGAACATGAGTTTATTTATGTGCAGCTCCTATTCTAAAATAGCGCCCTAGTACTTAAAAGTAACTCAGTAATTCATTGCTTTTTTAAATAATATGTTGCAATTTCAGTAGCACACATTCACAGACAGTACATTTCTGTTGCAGTATCTGCTGTATGAGCAAATATTGAAGGAGTCTGCAGACATCTGCTTTACAGTAGGGAGATAGATGATCCAACTGGATGTAGCCCACATGTGCAGTAAAGCCTGGTTATAGGAAATTACAGACTAAAAAGACTGTTGTTGCAAATATGCATCCCTGCACTCAGTAAGGTTAAACAGAAGAGTGACGACAAGCCAAATTAATCATTACAAAGCCAGACTAACAGTTATTTATAGTTGAAAAGCAAGACTAGCAGGGACTGGAAACTAAAACCATCCCAGGGGCCCAATGATAACGCGTCCTTCCCCGTAACTGGGGAAGTCCAGACCAGCTCCTGAAGGCGCACGTGGGGCCAGAGCTTGGAAGTGTTATGTGGAAGGCAGACTTCCCAGAACGCCGAGTGGGGGGCTTTTTTTTTTTTTTGATTCCCTTAATTTTTAGATGGTAACTCTTAACCATTTAGGCCAGTTATTACCTATGGGGTATGGACACAGGAGGACTTGCATTAATGTTACTGCACAGCCGGGCAGCAGATACTCAGAGGCTCCTGGGGAGGTGAGCACCTGCGTTAGGAGAGCTGCGCCTGTGCGTCCACAGAGCCTTCATGCACAAGGGAAACACGGCAAGGGTGGGCACTGGGCAGTTAACAATGGAGAAATAGGGATACCTTTGACCTCGTCTGCTTATCTGTATTTTCTGAAATTTTCTGCCATCAACTTGTTACTTTTGGTTAATTTTTAAAAGAGCTTCATCCAACACATCAAGTCCCTACAAAAGAACAGCACAAAGAATTCCGTCACCATCTCACAACCCTGTGGGTGCTGAAACAGTCACTGAGGGGAGGAGATGAAACGTTTATGAATAAGACTGTCTGCAATTACTTGAGCTGCTAAGATTAAATGACAAGACCAGTTGTTCTTCTTTCAAGGCATAAACTGACCCTCTGTTTAGGAAACAAATTTCCCCTTCCTGCTTCACCTCTGCATCCTGGGTTGGATTAGAAGCAATGAGGCAGCAGTGGTGTAGCTTCCCCTGTACCGTAGTTGTGATTAATGCTTTTCTGGACCATTCTTGTGGAGGAGTTAAAGGCTTTGGGATTGTTTAGCCTGAAGACGAGAAAGCAGAGGTGAGATGTAATTCATTTTACTTAAGTGAAAAATAGAACGTAGGAAAAAAAGCTGGAATTGCTATAGGGAGAGTTTGCTGTTGTTTTGCACATGTATACAGAAAGGTGTGTTAAGCGTCAGTGTATAACTTAATGAATTATTGGAAAGCAACTAAATATATAGCCACTGCCCAAGTCAAGAACTAGAACATCACCAGCACCCAGAACGTTTCTTCCCAGTCAAAGCCCTTCCCTCTTCCCTAGAGATAACCACCGTCCTGTCTTTTATGCAGTGTATACTGTAGTTTAGTTTTGCCTTATTTGGGGCTTTATGTAAGTGGAGCCATATAGTATATGTATGGCTTCTTTCACTCATGATACTGATCATGTTTAGATAATTAGCCATCTTGTTGCACGTGGTTATAGTTCTTTCGTGTTTGCTGCTGTATAATATTTTCTCATAGGCAAATGCCACCATTTATCCATTTTCCTTTTGATGGACATTTGGGTTGTTTCAGGTTGGGAGCTATTATGAATAATGCAGCTTTGAACTTCATATATGTGTATCTAGGTCTAGGGATGGAATTGCTGAATTGCAGGGTGTGTATGTTCACACTTTTCCCATGTAATGGTGAACTGGTTTCCTGTGGTGACTAGGAGCTGCTCTGCTTCCTTGCTCCCACCTGCTCTGATCAGGTGGTTAAGGTGTTTGATGGATGGACAGTAACTCGCTGTGGCTTTACTGTGTGTTTCCCTGATGCGATGAGATCGAGCATTATTTCTTATGTGTACTGACATTTTTAATTTCCTCTTGTGACATTCCTGTGCCACTGTTTAGCCCATTGTTTTTTCTACTGAGCAGTCTGTTATTCAGTCAACTGACTAGCCCTCTGAAGGTCACTATGCAGGGTATGTGGGAATGTTCCCTGCCCCAAGGAGAAGACTTTCCAGCTCTAAAGACAAATATGGAAACAAGTAATTCATAATATTATGATGATTGTTGAAATGTCCTTGTTCTCCAGCAGGCTGACTGTTAGCTGAACTTTCATTTGTCTTATGTCCTCAATGCTTAACACAGTATCGGGCACATACTAGGTGCTTTGTAAAGTTATGTTAAATGAATGAATGAGGCATTGTCAGAGGATGGTGAAAGTGCTCTAGTGGGGCTAAGTGTTGGGTAAGGGAGAAGCACAAAATAAGGAACCTTGAATTGCACCCACCCACCCACCCAGAATGGGGCAAAGGTTCCCTAGGAGTTAATATTTGAAACAAATCTTAAAAGACTCACCAGAAGCAGTGGAGGAAATACATTTGAGGCAAAGGAATAGTGAGCAAAGACATGGAGAGAGGAAGCGCACACTACACTGGAAATGTGAAATTTGGAGTGACTAACAGGATGAATGGAATGAGAGGATGGTGATAAAGGGCATCAACTGAAGAAAATGCTGTGAAGGGACTGCCTTGTAAGTCTCATAAGCAGCAGGGATAAAATTGCAATTAAATACAGAAAAAGACATTTTTTCCTGGGGAGGGCTAGGGGACTGTTGAGCATTAGAATTGATTTGTAGAATCTTTTCCTAGACATCTTGAACAAAAGAGAGCAGCTATGTAAGCCTGATCGTGAAATCAACTGATAATAAAAGTTACCTTCTAGAAAGTCATGGTGTGACTTCACTGAGTGTAGAGTGGTGGTGAAGACTGAACTTGCCCCAGTCAGATCTGGGTTTAGCAGCGGCTTGGCCCTAGTGGAGCCTCTGCTTCCACACCTGTAATTTGGGAATAGCGCCTACCTGGCGGAGCTGTTGTGACTGTTAAGGAGATGAGGCATGTAAAGGACTTAACCCTTGCCTGACTGGGTGATGAGTGGTGGCCGTGGTTTAATGGTATAGATCCTTAATTGTTCAGTTGCTGTCAGCATTATCTTGCTACTCTATACTGGC